ATTATCATAACAAGCTGCAGTAGCTGGTGCTCAAATATTCGGTGTCCTTTTGTGAATTAAGGCCCTGTTTCTGCAATTTGATGAAAATCATTTCCAAGATCAGGCGTTTTAAGTAAAATCGTTCTTCATGTAAAACTTTGACATGATCCCAGTCAAAATCATGGTTCCTCTTTAAACGATGTTCCTGTATGGCCGCTAACTCCACTGTAGAACTCTTAGGAATTCTCCTATGCTCACCAATACGTGTGGAGAGTCTTCTGGTTTGACCAACATACGAAGCATCCCAGCCACTGCATTGTAACCTATATACAACGTTATTATGGAAACCAAGAGGCAACCTGTCTTTATGCACACGAATTAATCCTGATAGTTTATTGGTGCACGAATACGCAATGTCTGTCAGATTATTCTTAAAAAACTTTGTCAATCTTTACGAAATTGAACCACAAAATGGTAAGGAAACATATTTTTTATCACACCCAGAACCTATCAATTCTGTTTCTACCGTCTCTGTAACTCGTCCACTATTCGCAATAAGGAACCTCAGTCTGCGCTTAATAATTTTAAAAATTAAGTCGAAAGGATAATTATTATTAATTAACGTCAAAATAATAAAATCTAAATTTTTTCTATGGAAAGAAGGATGACTGAGATAAAACATCCTATCAACCAAGCCAATAATTATGCCAATCTTGTGTTGAATAGAGTGGAAAGACAAATAATTAAGGTATCGACCAGAAAAAGTTGGTTTATGATACCAGTCAAAAATAATAGTGTTGTTACGTATTAACAGTGTAGTGTCTAAGAAGTTAATACAGTCATCTCCTATCTCCATAGTGAACTGAAGACGAGGATGGAACGAATTAAAAATGTTCAAAATATTATCCAAAAACTTTTTAGGAGCCGCTAAAAGAATATCGTCAACATACTTAAAATAAAAAGGCAATGTCACAGGAATCATATTAATAGCTCTTTCTTCCAAATCTTGAAGAACTATGTTAGCAATAATAGGGGACAATGGAGAGCCCATTGGACTGCCGAAAGTTTGCTTGTAAATTATATTGTCAAAAGTAAAAAATGTAGAATTGAGAACAAATTCCAACGCCAATAAAAACTCGTTGCGAGGAATCATGATAGAATCGACAATAAAAAGTTTTACATGAAGAACGATTTTACTTAAAACGCCTGATCTCGGAAATGATTTTCATCAAATTGCAGAAACAGGGCTTTAATTCACAAAAAGACACCGAATATTTGGGCACCAGCTACTGCGGCTTGTTATGATAATAAGCTTTGTTTTGGTTTCTTTCTCTTCTATGGGTCGTTTCCGCAATGTTAGTGCTAAACATATAATCTGTGATTATTCTATTAGACAGACGTAGACATGTTATCGTTGACAGGATCGGTTGCTTTTAGCTGAACTCAACAAAGGTATTTTATATTGTTCAGTTTTAATTATGTATTATATTTCTATCTTATTTAATTTTTTATCATTTTATATGTTTTTATAGTTATGACGGCTACTTCTTGATATAAATTTATTATTTAATATTATTGCGGTAACGATCTTGTCGGGTTTAATATTGCGACTAACACCCACGTCTGTTTTGCGCTGGTCTTTTACTTATTGTAATGCGTTTGTGTCGTTAAGCCTTGAGTTTCTTTATCACTGAAGAGGGCTCACGGTTGAGCCGAAACGTTTGAATGTTTTTGAATTGATTATTCATTTCAATAAAATTTTACACGATTTCCTAACATGAGGAAGGTTGTTTTATCCATATGATATATAGCATTATTAGTCCTGTGCTTGAACTCGGATTGCCTTTTTTCTACCTTTTGATTTATATCTTTATTTGCGAGTTCTTATTTCTTTCTAAAT